GCTCTCCAGAGAGTGATCCGTACAGCAGAACGCTGCTGCAGGATTGCTCTCCCCCCGCTTCAGGACACCTACACCAGGAGATGCCGGACTAGAGCAGCGCAGATACTGAAGGACCCGTCCCATCCTGGCAACAAACTGTTCCAATTTGTGTTGAATTTGACTGTTTGATGTTCTTTATGATCTCTAGCACCAGTTGATCTGTAGGCCGTGCTCAGTCCATCTATTTACTGAAATGATGTTTAAAGGTCTCCTTGTTATGTGAGCGTGCACAGATCCTGAAGCAGAAAGCCTGGGTTAACAGAGAAATGACCATCACTGTGATGATGCTCAATCTCTCTGACTGGGATTTGAGGTTTTGTCAAAGCAACAAAGAAAGCCTGGCTATGTTGGACTGGGTGTGGAAGCAGCTCCCAGTTTGAGTTCAGGAGACAGACACCCTCTCTACTTTGAAGATCAGCCTCAAACTTTCCTTTTTGATAAAGCTTATAGTTAGAGCTGGATCAGGTGACCCTGAACCATCCCTTAGTTATGCTGCTATAGGCTCAGGCTGTTGGTGGACTTCCCACGATGCTCTGCTTTCTTCTCCACTCCCCCCTTTTCACTCCTGATGCTTTTATATGTCACTACTGCATGTCCTTAACTTTTGTCTTCTCTCTCCTTAGTTTGTGTTTTGTTCTTGTCTCTCTGAGCTGATTTCTTCTCTTTCCCCTCACAGTCATGGTAGATGCTCATCCTGGAGCCTGTTTTCACTGGGAGGATCTTTATGTCAAAGGGAATTCTTTCTTCCCACCATCACCAAGTGCTGCTCACAGTGGATTGGGGCTTTCTCTCTAATATTGGAGGCTGTTACCTTATGCTGTTAAACAGCTTGAGGTGACTGTTTGTCACTTATAAATCAAGTTACCTTGAATGAAAGTAAATGGATAGATGTTATTGTGACAAAGAGAAAATGATTGTTGACAGATGGATTGTTGTTTTGTGTGTCTGCAGTCTGTCAGGCTGTCTGATCACAGAGGAAGGCTGTACTTCTCTGGCCTCAGCTCTGAGCTCCAACCCCTCCCATCTGAGAGAGCTGGACCTGAGCTACAATCATCCAGGGAACTCTGGAATGAAGCTGCTGTCAGCTGGACTGAAGGATCCAGGCTGGAGACTGGACACTCTCAGGTATGGAGAGAATGTCTGATAGAGGAGGAAGAGCTGGAAACTGTGTCCTTCACTCAGATGAGACATGAACAGTCACACATGCAGGAATATTTTCAGGGACAGACACACTAGTCTAGCTGGACAGTACATGGATATTTATGTAAGGGGTCTCCAAGGAGTCTCTTTGGAGGAATATTAATGATATCTGATAAGTCACGTTGAGAGTTTCATTAAAAGTAGACCTACAGTTAGGGCTATAAATATTTGGACAGAGACAACATTTTGTAACTTTAGATACACTTTATTAGGTCACAGATGTACCTGAGATAGTGGCCACCGTGTACCTAATAAAGTGTCAGCCATGTGTATGTTTCCCATGCTATATGTCCACAGTCACAGTGACATTCAGTGACACTGACAGGATGAAACAAGGCTGTGAATCATATCAGTCTGTGTGTGTGGCAAAGAGGCAGACAGGAGCAGCTAACATTTAGAAATGGAAGCTTAAATACTGACAAACTCTACATTCACAGCTGAATTCACAATAAGTTTGTTCTCAAACAACAGAATGAGAATGAAATATTGATTTTAACAGGGTCCATAAACAGCATTAGCTTACCAGCATTAGTTTATCAGAGTTTCCATCATGGTCACACAAATCTTTAACAGAGCAAAGTGGCCTACTTAGCATTAACTCCTCACTAATATAATACGAATTCACATGAATTAGCATTAGCTGTTATAAGGAAAGAGAAAACGGTATTAACATTAGCTGCTAATCTCCAAAAGTTGATTCTGTTCATCTGAACGTAGCGTTTTGTTGGAGAAATGTTTTGTCACTCATCCAAGTGACTTCTTCAGTCTCAGCTGATTGCAGTTTTCCCCAATCTTATAAACAGTACATTTGCATAATGACTGAAACCAGCCCACTGAAGGAACAATGGGCTGGGAGGTCAGTTCCTTAATCTTATTTATCCAAATTCTCATGACCATTGATCAACAACCACTGACCAAAACCCACTGATCAAAGACCACTGATCAATATCAATGGCCATGAGTACCATTCATAGAGACTTGGGGAATGGCTGCAATCACAGCATTGTAAGACGGCGAAAGATGAGCCCTTAGGCCTCCTCCTCAATTCAGAGATGGTCTTTCCCTTTTCACGTAAATGGCCTCCTTGACTCCACGCTCAAACCAGCGTTCCTCCCTGTCCAAGATGTGTACATCCTCATCCTTGAAAGAGTGTCCACTGGCCTGTAGGTGTAAATAGACTGCAGAGTCCTGGCCTGATGAGGTAGCTCTTCGGTGTTGTGCCATCCGCTTCGCCAGAGGTTGTTTGGTGTCCCCGATGTATAAATCCTGGCAATCCTCCTGGCACTCAACAGCGTACACTGTGTTACTCTGTTTGTGTCGGGGGACCCGATCCTTGGGGTGGACCAATTTTTGTCACAGCATGTTTGGGGGTTTAAAAGCCACAGAGACCCGGTGTCCTTCTCTCCTGGATCGGCGGGAGCTTTCTTTAGGTGCCTTTCCAGCTTTGACAAAAGTCCAGCTGGGATAACCACCTTTACTCAGGGCCTTCTTGATGTGCTATTCTTCTGCCTCCCTGGCTGCTGTGTCAGTGGGGATGGTGTTCGCTCTGTGTAGCGTCCTAATGACACCCAGTTTGTGCTCCAGTGGATGATGAGAGTCAAACCTTAAATACTGATCCATACATGTAGGTTTACGGTACATGTCAGCTTTTAGATGTCCCCCGTTACCGATGGAAATCTCACAGTCTAAGAAGGCTAACCTGCCACTTTTCATATCCTCCCTGATGAATTTGATGTGTCGGTCCACTCAGTTAATGTAATCCATGAAACCATGGCCTCGTACGACGTTACATCTCTCTTCACTTGCATCCCAGTCACGGAAGTGTTGGAGGTAGTCCGTAAGAAATTACAGGATGACAACAACCTCAGCAACAGGACCACTCTCAGGTCATTTTTGACCAGGACATGTCCTTCAATGCACATATTAAACAAATATGTAAGACTGCGTTCTTCCATTTGCGCAACATCTCTAAAATTAGAAATATCCTGTCTCAGAGTGACGCTGAAAAACTAGTTCATGCATTTATTACTTCCAGGCTGGACTACTGTAATTCATTATTATCAGGATGTCCAAAAAACTCACTGAAAAGCCTTCAGCTAATCCAAAACGCTGCAGCAAGAGTACTGACAGGGACTAGAAAGAGAGAGCATATTTCTCCTGTTTTGGCTTCCCTTCATTGGCTTCCTGTTAAATCCAGAATTGAATTCAAAATCCTGCTCCTCACATACAAGGTCTTAAATAATCAGGCCCCATCTTATCTCAATGACCTTGTAGTACCATATCACCCTATTAGAGCACTTCGCTCTTGCTCTGCAGGCCTACTTGTTGTTCCTAGAGTATTTAAAAGTAGAATGGGAGGGAGAGCCTTCAGTTTTCAGGCCCCTCTTCTATGGAACCAGCTTCCAGTTTGGATTCGGGAGACAGACACTATCTCTACTTTTAAGATTAGGCTTAAAACTTTCCTTTTTGCTAAAGCATATAGTTAGGGCTGGACCAGGTGATCCTGAATCCTCCCTTAGTTATGCTGCAATAGACATAGGCTGCCGGGGGATTCCCATGATGCATTGAGTTTTTCCTTTCCAGTCACCTTTCTCACTCACTATGTATTAACAGACCTCTCTGCATTAAATCATATCTGTTATTAACCTCTGTCTCTCTTCCACAGCATGTCTTTTATCCTGTCTTCCTTCTCTCACCCCAACCGGTCGCAGCAGATGGCCGCCCCTCCCTGAGCCTGGTTCTGCCGGAGGTTTCTTCCTGTTAAAAGGGAGTTTTTCCTTCCCACTGTTGCCAAAGTGCTTGCTCATAGGGGGTCATATGATTGTTGGGTTTTTTTCTCTGTATCTATGAAGCGCCTTGAGGCGACTTATGTTGTGATTTGGCGCTATATAAATAAAATTGAATTGAAATTGAATTGAACTCTCAACCAAGTGTGTTTGCTTTTAGAACTGTGTCTTCATTCCACCTACTTCACATACAAGGGTCAGTTCTACAGGCATAAACATGGGTGTGCCATGGGCTCCCCAGTTTCACCCATCGTTGCCAATTTGTACATGGAAGAAGTGGAAAAGAGGGCTTTGCTATCCTACCCTGGAACACCACCAAGCCATTGGATCGGATATGTGGATGACACCTGGGTGAAAATCAAATCTCAAGACATACCACAATTCATGGATCACACTTAACTCGGTGGACCGACAAATCAAATTCAAGTTCATTAATGCTAAATAGGCTTAATTTAAGGGAAAGTAGTGTTAGCATTAGCTGCTCATATTGTTAAAAAGTAAGAAAAAACATTGTTAGCAGTGGAGCTAATGCTAACGCACATCAAATTAGCATTAGCTAATAACGGTAGCCTACTTCGCATTAGCTGCTCACATTGTTATAAAGCAAAGGTAAATGATATGAGCATTAGGTTCTAATGCGTATTTGCCTTTAGACGTAGGTGCTAATGGCGGCCTACTTAGCATTAGCTTCTCACATTTTTATAATGCAGGGGAAAAGAGTGTTAGCAATAGCCGTTCACATTGTTATAATGCAAAGGGAAATAGTGTTAGCATTAACTACTGACATTGTTAAAAAGTAAGGAAAAACAGTGTTAGCATTAGTGCATAATGCTAATTCACGTCAAGTTAGCATTAGCTAATAACAGTAGCCTACCTACTTAGCATTAGCTGCTCACATTGTCATAACGCAAGGGAAAAGGGTATAAGTGTTAGCTATTCAGAAAACAGTGGGAAAACAGGAAGGGAAAACAGTGTTAGCGTTAGCATATAATGCTTATTCACATCAAATTAGTATTAGCTGCAAACTGCACTAATCAGTAACTGTAGCCCTGAAAACACTTCAAATAAAGTGTATAGTGAAACTGAGAGTGATTGTTGTTGGACAAAATGTGTTTTGCTGCTAATCATCTACAATACAATTAGCATAGTGATAATAGGCTGCTGTTAGCTAGCATTGGGCGTGTTGGGGTGGGGGGGGACCTCTTTCTGTGACTGACTAGAGGATTCAAACCAATCAGATGACAATATTCACATGACTCCCACTCCATGAAGTGTATTTGTGAAAATGTTGGACTGTTCCTTTATCAGTGTCTAACAGTATGTTTATGAGAGCCATGTAATGTCGAGAGAGAGAGTTTTGATACGTGAGAGATTTGTGATGTTTAGCGTCTTTAGCGGCTACATTTAGTGTGTAGTTAGTGTGTAGTGTAGTGGTTGTGTTGTGTGTCAGTTCTACTAGTGAATGTTAAAGTTTCTGGCTTAAAGCCACCAAAGGGAGATTCCAGTGTAAACCCTGTTGTCACATGGAAAACAGGAGTGATCCACCTCCTGCTGTCAGACCTGCAGGTTTATCCCTGTGCTGTTCTCCTCTGTCTTACAGTGACACAACCTATTTTTTTTACAGTGGCACAAATCATGTGTGTGGCTTCTTGTTTGATGCAGAACACCATAGTTTGAAATGGTTATATAAAACCACGTGAGGCCTCGGCTGCATTTTTAGGTAGATAGTTGTTTGCAAAACTTGTGCATCATTTTTTAAAATGTATAAAATGATTGATTAAACATGTTTGTGGTGGTTTTTCCAGTATAAATGTGACTTTTTTCTCCTCTGATATTTCCTCCAATGACTGGAAATATGGTGTTGATGAATGTGTCAGAACTACTCCAAAGATATAACCCTGTGCAGTCTGGAGAAATGGCCATCATCCAGTCTGTCCTGTTTCCATCAATCACTGTCGGGTTGGCCTCAGTCATGAAGCATGATGGGGCCAGACAATAAGGTCTTTAGAGAGGCTCATCTGTGCTGTCTTTCCTCCATACAGGACCTGTAAAGGTCCAGAATGAGGGACAAACACATCTCTACAGCCCTTTAACATCATGGAGATAAACTGTTCACATTTCTTCCTTCAGCCAGACGATACAGAGTGTTGTTAACAAAAAAAACCCGACACCACAGACAATTCATTCCCCTGGGATTTCACTTTGATGAACACTGTGAATGTTCATGTGTATGACAGCCATGTAATGTCCATGTGTGCATGCTGACTGTGCTGCTCTGACCCCCCTCCTCCTTTCAGGGTGGAGCCTGCTGGAGTCCGATGGTTGAGACCAGGTCTGAGGAAGTGTAAGTGTATTTTTAATGTGATTCATGAAAACAAAGCAGCACACATTCAACCATCTTCATCATTCACATCTCTGATGTCAGGAGTCATCATCAAAGTGTCAATCAATGAACAGATGATGGATCAATAACTGCAGCTGGATTGTGTTTGTTCTCTCCATCAGATACCTGTCAACTCACAATCGACACAAACACAGTACACACAAACCTCCAACTGTCTGACAACAACAGGAAGGTGACACACGTGAAGGAGGTTCAGTCATATCCTGATCATCCAGACAGGTTTGATGTTTATCCTCAGCTGCTGTGTAGAAATGGTCTGACTGGTCGCTGTTACTGGGAGGTCGAGTGGAGAGGAGACGTTTATATATCTGTGAGTTACAGAACAATCAGAAGAAAAGGAGGCAGTGACTGTGGGTTTGGATGGAATGATCAGTCCTGGAGTCTGGACTTCTATAGTGGTGCTCCTCGTTCTGTCCTCCACAATAACAGAACAACACTCATCTCCTCCTCCTCCTTTTCCTCTGTCTCTAACAGAGCAGCAGTGTATGTGGACTGTCCTGCTGGCACTCTGTCCTTCTACAGAGTCTCCTCTGACACTCTGATCCACCTCCACACCTTCCACACCACATTCACTCAAACTCTTTATCCTGGGTTTATGTTCATCTATCCTGGTTCTTCAGTGTCCCTGTGCTGAGTTGAGTGTAAAGAGTGTCCTACTGTTAGAGAAACACTCAGACTGTTGAACAGATCGTTCAGTCTGTACATGTCTGTCTCTTTCACTTACAAATACGTTTTCAGATTCATGGATTCAATCAGTTGATGTTTGAAACTGTTCGAAATGATTCCTTGTAAATTTCTTCCTCCTTCAATCCTTTAAAGATGGAAGTTCCCATTATTCCAGGATCCATATGTTGTTTTCTGTCTTTTTCCACTCAAAGCTTCACAGTGAATTTCAGTATGTTGTGTTTCTCTGAAGCTCAGTTCACAACCAGCTCCTCTAAATTTTTAACAAGTCTGAGCTCATTAAAATGAATCCAAATGTTTGATTTCTCTTTCTTAATGGGATGTTTCCAAACTCTCCACATGCTGTTACTGTTTCACTCATTGTTGGAAGCTCATCATTTGAAAGCTCTCTCTTGCTCTTGACAAAAGCGGTTGCACTTTTCCCCTCTCCTCCTCCTCCTCTCCCTTAGCTTCCCTGCTTAGCCTGTTTTGTCTTTGTCTAGTCTCGTGTTTTTTGTATTACTTTTCCCTGGAACACTCTCTCAAAGTCTGTTCTCTAAAACCTAAATTAGGAATTATGGATTTGATCAACTGGTCCCTGAATGCAATTGACACCCTTTTCTCAACCTGAAGTCTGGGCTCGGGTGAGCCTGAGTGTCCGGGAGGTACTTTCCCTGCCGGATACACGATGGAAAGGTGACATAACTGGAGGGTCGTGTGCCTGGCGGGATTGTCGATCGAAAACGCTAAAGATATCTACCTATTCGGAACCATGATAACAGGGTTCTTGCTGATCGGAGCTGGCTTGGCCCTGGCTTATCGAAGAATTAAGAAAGCGGAACCGGCTGTTCAAGCCCCCACAAGGCTGCCCGCTGGGATTGAAACGATGGGACGAGGCGTGAGTTTCTCAAAATGGGCTCATTGAGTGCAGCACGGATAAGATCTTGGAGAAGCTTGCGGCTGCCATGAACTCTCAGAATAATAGCTCTGAGTGCAAATTGGATTACATCTCGGAGCAGCTCACTGCGGTCGTGAGTTCTCAGAAATCGGCTCTCTGAGCACAAGAATGACAACATCATGGAGCGTAAGTTTGATAACATCATGGAGAAGCTCACGGCTCTCCAACGGGAGATTGAGAGACCAGTGTCGGACTGTTAGAATAGCTTTGAAATTCATATGAGTTGTTTGCACTAAAATAAAAACCATCATCACTTAATGCGGCTACCACGCGGCGCCAGCTGTGGTCTCAAGGCTGGAGCTGAACAAAAACACCCTGATAAAGTCTGTGTTTAGGCTGTTCCTTCCTATCCTATGCAAGGCCACCTGGGTTGGCAGGAAGACTGTTTACTTAGCCTGGCAGGGCGAAGGACACTGTCTCAGCTGAACTCTGGACACACACACACACACAGACATATATATACACATGAAGATATATACTTGTCCCCCTTTCCCCTCCAAACGCCTTCAACGCTTATTCCGCTCCGATGCTGACGGTGGATCAAGGAGACCAGCACTTATGCGCTTAAATGCTGCAGGCCAGGATGTACTGTCTACACTGGCTGTCTCTCACCCTTTACCCATCCCTGTTGCTTGTCATGTGTTTCTTTGGTGTATTAAGAGTTTTTTCATGTGCTTTGTACAGAGGTGTTTTTTTTCTGTTCTCAAACTGATCTCCCTATTGGAGCTCAGTCTGGGGGAGTTATTTTTTTTCTCCTTAGTTTTCCTCATGTTGTGCATTTTCCATGTTATACCTCTCTGACCTGTCTTCCCCATGTGGTGTTTGTGTAATGTATGTATGGTCGGAAGGGTAAGACGGCACTGGCACGGCTGGTAGTCTTAACCCAATCAAAATGTTTCAGCCATAAAAGCTGAAAATATTGGCTCAATAGTTTTGAATGCAGTTCTAACCAGTGTGCTGGGTTTTTAAAAATGCATGGCTGCTGCCTGATGTTGAGCCCACAGAGGAAGACGACTCACTCACTCTTCTTAACTGTGATGAAGATGTGCAGAGATCTGTGTACAAACAGGAGAAAGACTGTAAAGACTCTGTGCTTCTAACAGCCTCTGTTAACATATGTGAGGCTGTTTGTTGTTGTTGCCATGGAGCTTTTCACTGTTTGGGTCTGCGTCAGCAGGTCATGTGATCAGGTTTGTCCTGTGAAAGCTTGACGATGGTTCAGTGTCAGGGTTTGTTTGCATTTATCAATGAATATCTAAATAAATCAAAGACGCCATGTTTTTTCTTTCATCATGTGACCTCTGCTCATCCATCTCTGTGTGTATCAGGATACATTTAGTTCATAATACACAGAAAAATCAGAGTTATTACCTGTAATAAATGTGAAAGTAAAGATTCCTGCAGTGATAACCAGGCAGGTGTAGAATATTTAGCTGATTTAGAGTTTAGAAATGTGTTAAAATATAATGTAGAACTGTTGTAGAGACACTGACACTGCCCTCACTATAATAAGGCTGATTGTAGGAGTAGATTGTAGACCTCCCCCACTGAGTGGAAATTCCCCAGAGGAAGTTTTAGGGTGGGGGTCTCAACATTTGTAACTGTGGTCTGGAAGTGAGAGGGGTTTTATGACCTCTAGGGAGTTACCTACACCCACAGTGTTTTAACGGTCACGCACACACATCCACACGCACACTCACTCATGTGCACACACATACACACAGGTATGCGCACACACTCACTCACGAGCACTCACATAGACACAGACACAGAGTTTCCAGCACACCGTGGGGGTTTTATGATGGGGACAGCCTCTATAAAGCTGGCTGTAACTAACAAAGGGGTGAAGATTTGGAGAGGGATATGTCTGTGAAGGTTCTCAGGCATCCAGGTCATCGTAGTCAAAGGAGCTTGCAAAGAAAAGCGTCTGGACTTCTTTAAGTTGCTTGAAGACGTTTCACCTCTCATCCGAGAAGCTTCTTCAGTTCTAAGGTCAAATGGTGGAGAGACCATTTGGGACCCACGCCCAGTTTCACACCTTGGCTCAGGCGATTAGAGGATCATCAGGGGGTCCTTTTGTCCCTCTGTGGGGGGTTACTCCCACTAGGTTTTGTGGACAAGAGATATTTTATTTTGTATTCTTATGGTAACAGATATAATCAGAACTATCATTGATTAATCATTCATCATTGTTGAATCAGTTGACATAATAATCTTTGAATTACATCTATGTTACTCTGAGCAAATATTAATGTACACAGATTATCAGCACTTTAATCAGTCTATTGTTGTTCTGTATTATTCTTTCTATTTGCTTAAGCTGTTGCACATTCTGGTAACCACTTGGACCGGTGGGTCCAGCCGGACTTTTTACACTCACTTGCACGTACTCAGGCCTTTAACAACATGCACATAGTTATGTAAAACACGCACGTTCACACACACACTTTCAAAGAACAGGAAGGTCGTCTTAGGACAGTCTCTCTGATAGATACACTATCACAAAATGCACAATATAATACACACTTGTTTTTCTCTAAAAGTAGCAGTTGATGTCCATATAAGGAGAACTTTTTGAGTGGGGGGAACTGTTATCATTTCCAGTAAGATCTAACTGTGACGTCAGTGGGATTATATAAGGATGGGGAGCAGTTTACTCGGGGAAGTCCGGCTCTTCCCACACTGTAATGTGTGTTTTAATAAAATGATCTGTGCTGACCCAGCTGTATACCAGTCGTAGTCTCTTCCTCAAAATCCGAACCATGACATTTCTGGTGCCGAAAACCCGGTTTTAGGAGGGACAAATGGAGTTTGGCTGAGGTATAAGTGGTGTCAGACGGACAGCCAGGAGGTCGACTGAGTGATGGGCCCCGGAATAGGAGAGATAAGCACCGCCTGTTGATGTCCAAAGGTGCTGAATTGGAAATTAAGGTAAATTAAATGTTCACTCAGTGGGGCTTCTGTTCTGTCCGTGGTGATCTTGGGGTAATTGGTGTTAAAAACAGGGAATATTGGTCTGTCTAAATTTATTGCGGTTTATTTTGGGGGTGAATTTTGAGTTAAGAGGTTATATGTGTTTAAGACAATACGGTTTAAAGTGTTTAAAGTGATGTGGGTTGACTGGGAATGCCAGCCAGTCAATCGGTAGTAGTTCAGGGAATTTGGCTTTATTGATCAGCAGAAACGCGGTTTCGGGCGTCAGGTAATTAATAACTGGGGGCGGAGACCTCGCAGTGATGCTTATAATATTTTGAGTAAATTGTTTTTAGGACTGGGGCGTGGCCCCTAGGAATGCAGTTGTGTTCAGCAGGTGGCACTG